TCCCTCGAACAAGAGGACATAATCCTTGTAACATTTATGCACCTAATATAGGAGCACCTAATTATGTAAAGCAAATCTTTTTCCCCCCATTTTTTAAATTAAGGTGTTATATGTGTACATATCTTAACATTGCCCTCCCCCATTACATTCCTATACATCTACTCAACCCCCCAGTGTTTTGCATCCACTGGTTATGCTTATATGCATGCAAACAAGTCCTTTGATTGACCTCTTATCTCCCCCACCTCTCCCTAAACTTCCTGCTGTAATTTGACAGTTTGTTTGGTGCTTTACTGCCTCTGTATCTACCTTTTTGCTCATCATTTTATAATGTTCTTTATTACTCACACATGAGTGAGAGCATGTGGTATTTTTCTTTCATTGACTGGCTTATTTCACTTAGCATAATGTTCTCCAATTCCATCCAGGTTGCTGCAAATGGTAAGAATTCCTTCTTTTATGGCAGCATAGTATTCCATTGTATAGATGTACCATAATTTTCTGATCCAGTCATCTGCTGGTGGGCACCTAGGCTGTTTCCAAATCTTAGCTAATGTAAAATGAACATAGGAGTGCATATATCCTTTATGATTGGTGTTTCTAGTTTCTAGGATATATTCCTAAGAGTGGGATTACTGGGTCAAATGGGAGTTCCATTTTCAGTTTTTTGAAGAAACTCCATACTGTTCTCCACAGTGGATGCACCAGTCTATATTCCCACCAGCAGTGCACGAGGGTTTCTTTTTCTCCGCAACCTCGCCAACACTTGTCGTTTGTTGATGATAGCTATTCTTACAGGTGTGAGATGGCACCGCATTGTTGTTTTGATTTGCATCTCTTGGATAATTAGTGAATTTGAGCATGTTTTCATGTGATTCTTGGCCTCCCTTCTGTCTTCTTTCAAAAGGTTTCTATTTAGGTCCGTTACCCATTTCTTGATTGGATTGTTTATCTACCTTTTGTTGAGTTGTACAAGTTGCTTGTAGGTGTTGTAGATTAAACATTTATCAGTGATACCATTGGCAAACATGTTCTCTCATACAGTAAGTTTCCTCTAGAATTTTTATGGTTTCCCATCTTATGTTTAATTCCTGTATTCATTTTGAGTTTTGTTTGTTTGTTTGTGTTTTGTTTTCTGTGTGTGTGTGTGTGTGAGAGAGAGAGAGAGAGAGAGAGAGAGAGAGAGAGAGAGAGGGAGGGAGAGAGAGAGGGAGAGAGAGAGAGAGAGAGAGAGAGAGAGAGAGAGAGAGAGAGAGAGAGAATGGTGTAAGTTAGTGGTCTAATTTCTTTTCTTTTTTTTTTTTTTCTTTTGCATATATCCAATTTTCCCAACACCACTTGTTGAAGAGACTGTCTTAACTCCATTTGTTGCCATGATGTTTTTTATTTCTTCCTTGATCTCTCTGGTAACACAGTCTTGTTTAATAGTATGCTGTTTAGTCTCCATGTGTTTGATTTCTTTGGTTTGTGTTTATTGTAGTTGATTTTCAGTTTTATGCCACTGAGATCTGAGAAGATGCTATATATGATTTCTATCTTCTTGAATGTAAAGAGACTTTGCCTATGAGCCAACATATGGTCTATCTTTGAAAATGACCCATTTTCATTTAAGAAGAATGTATATTCTGTAGCTTTGGGGTGGAATGTTCTGAAAATGTCGATTAATTCCATCTGGTCCCGTGATTCATTTAGGATTGATGTTTCTTTGCTGATTTTTTGTTTAGAGGATTTGTCCAGTGGTGATAGTGGGGTATTAAAAATCTCCTACTATAATTGTATTGCTGTTAATATCTCCCTTAATGTCCTCCAGGAGTTTTTTTTTTTTTTTTTTTTATGTATTTGGGTGCTCCTATTTTATGTATTTGGGTGCATATATGTTTACCTGGGTTATCTACTTGTTGGATTGCTCCATTTAGTATTATGAAGTGGCCTTTGTTATCTCGTGTTATGTCCTTCACACTGAGATCTAATTTGTCAGATTATAAGTATTGCTACCCCAGCTTTTTTTTTTTTTTTTCTATTTGTCTGAAAAACGTTTTTCCATCCTTTCTCCCTCAATCTGTGTATCTGTGCGCCTCTTTTTTTCTGGGGTGGGTTTCTTATAGACAGCGGGTATATGAGTCTTGTATTCTTATCCAATCTGTTACCCTATGTCTTTTGATTGGAGCATTTAATCCATTTACATTTAAAGTTATTATTGATAGGTACTTATTTGTTGCCGTTTTTATTCTTTACCCCTGTGTCCTGTGCTATTTCTTTTTCTTTTTTCTTTTTCTACAGCAGACCCTTTAGCTTTTCTTGCACTGCTGGTTTGGTGGTGATAAATTGCTTTAGTCCTTTTTTTGCCGGTGAAGCTTCTGGTGTCACCTTCAATTTTGATTGATAGTCTTGCTGGTACAGTATTCTTAGTTTCAGACCCTTCTTTTGCATGACTTTGTATATTTCATTCCATTCCCTTTTTGCCTGATGAGTTTCTGTTGAGAAAACAGTTGCTAGTCTGATGGGGGTTCCTTTGTATGTAACTTTCTGTCTCTCTCTGGCTGCTTTTAAGGTTCTTACTTTATCATTGGTGTTTGCCAATTTAATTATAATGTGCCTTGGCATTGGTCTTTTGGGGTTCATTTTGCTTGAGACTCTCTAAGTTTCTTGGATTTGTGTGGGTTTTTTTCTTCCCTATGTCAGGAAAGTTTTCTGTCATTATTTCTTCAAACAGGTTTTCTATTACTTGCTCAGTTTCATCTCCTTCTGGTACTCCTTTTATGCAGATTTTTGTTTTGTTTTGTGTTGTGTTGTCCCAAAGTTCTCTTAGGCTCTACTCATGCTTTTTATTTATTTTCCTAGAAGCTGCTCTACTTGAGTATTTTTCCTATCTTGTCTTCTTGCTCACTTATGTGGTCCTGTACTTCTTCTAGTCTATTCTTGATTCTTTCTATAGAATTCTTTACAGCAGCAATGTCATTTTTCATTTCTCTGGGTTCTTCATTTCCTCTTGGTTCTTACTCATATTGTCAAATTTGTCTTCCATTCTTTTCAGTCACCTTATGACCATTTCTCTGACAGGTTGCTTGCCTACATTTCATTTACTTCCTTTTCTGGTGATGCCTGCTTGTCTTTCATATGCAGACTGTTTCTTTGTCTCCCCATGGTCTCTCTTCTTCGGGTGTCTGGTTATATAGTTCTCTCTATTCTTATCCCAGGCAAAATCTGACCCTTTTTTTTTTTTTTTTTTTTTTTTTTTTTTTTTTTTTTTTTTAGTCTCTTGTAAAGGAAATCTTGATGGACATAAAAGAAGAGATTGACAATAATACAGTTATAGTAAGATATTTTAACACCCCATTGACATCAATGGATAGATCTCCCAGACTGAAAATCAACAAGGAGATGATGACCTTAAATGATACACTAGATCATTGGTCAGCAAACCGCGACTCAAGAGCCACATGCAGCTCTTTGGCCCCTTGAGTGTGGTTCTTTCACAAAATACCACATGTGAATGTGCATGTACAGCGCAATTTAAACTTTGTGGCCCATGTGCAGAATTCAGTTTTTGGTCTGGGTGAGTCTATTTTGAAGAAGTGGTGGTGTCGGTCTCATGTGGCTCATGAGCTGCAGTTTAATTGATATTTTTAGAGCATTTCACCCCAAAGCAGCAGTATATACTAGGACAGACCATATGTTAGACACAAAACAAGTCTATACATTTAAGAAGATTGAAATCCTATCAAGCCTCTTTTTTGACCATAACTTGAAATCAATCACAAGAAAATTAAAACACAAAGACATGAAAGCTAAATAACATATTACTAAACAGTGAATGGGCAAATAAGGACATCAAAGAAGAAATCAAAAGATAACTTGAAACAAATGGAAATGGGAACACAACTACCCAAAATCTGTGAGACACTGGATAGCAGCCATAAGAGAGAAATTCATATCATTATAGGTCTTTCTCAAAAAACATGAAAAATCTCTAATAAACAATCTAACTTTACACTTAAAGAAACAGGAAAAAAACAAAGCACAGAGTGAGTAGAAGGAAGGAAATAATAAAGAACAGAGCAGAAATAAATGAAATACAGTTTAAAAATCCTATATAATAAAAGCCCGATGACCAGTTGACCAGTCACTATCATGCGCACTGACCACCAGGAGGAAGATGCCCAATGCAGCAGCTTCCCCCCGGTGGTCAATGTGCTCCCACAATGGGAGCACTGCTCCCACAGCAGGCTAATCCTCATAGGCCATGCTCCCCCCACCAGTGCACAGTTCCCATGCACCAAGCCTCTAGTACAATATAAAGCATTAATGAGTCCAATAGCTGACTTTTTGGAAAGGTAAACATGATTAATAAACCTTTAACCATACTCATCAAGAAAAAAAGAAAGGGGACCAAATAAATAAAATCATAAATGAAATAGGAGAAGTAGTAATTGACACCAAATATATACAAAGGATTGTAAAAAAAAAAAAAAAAAAAAAAAAAAAAACACCTTCCAACAAACAAAATCCTGGCCAAATGGCTCTACAACTGAAAGTTACCAAACATTCAAAAAGATTTCATACCTGTCCAAAAATTATTGCAAAAAAATTCAGAGGAAGACTCCCAAACTCTTTTTATAAGGCCAGCATTATCCTAGCTCTAAAACCAGTTAAAGACACAAGAAAGGAAGACAATTATAGCCCAACCTTCCTGTATAACATAGATGCTAAAATCCTCGATAAAATATTAGGAAACCAAATATAACATTGCATTAAGAAGATCTTATACCATGATCAAGTGGGACTTATTATTGTGATGCAAAGTTGCTACAACATTCAAAAAACAATAAACATGATAAACCATTTAAACAAATTAAAGGATAAAATCACATGGCCATATCAATAGATGCAAAAAAAAAAGTGATAAAATTCAGCACCAATATATAACAAAATTATAGTCTAAATTGTTTCAAACAAGCACACATAGAGGGAAAAATTAACTTATATTTTTTATGTTTTAGGTCAAAATTACATTATCATGGGCCAAGTAGGTGAAGATGGGCGAGGCAAAATCATGCCCAACAGCTTTGTCACGATGTTGAAGACCAAGAATCAGAAGTTCCTGACTGCCTTGGAAAACAAGCAATGTTAACAGTGAAATGTGTCCATTTATGCTTCATTCTGTCATTGCCTTTGAAAGATCTATTTTTCTCAGTATAAAAACAATCTTATGACATTGAATATTCATTATTCAGAAAGATTAAATAGGTGTGATGGAATTTCTATGCCTGCATCAATAGAAGCAGATATTGTAGTACAGTAACAGGAACCTAATGGCATCGAGTGGTGACAGTTGAAAGCAGTTTATTTATACATGCCTCTAACGGGGTATTTTATAAATGAGTTTTGTGAAGATGTTAAAATGGAGATTTTATAAGTGCAATGTTTGCTTCAAGATGTTATATTCTTTTCTTGCATTTTTAAATTGATGCTTAATAAAATATTTTTAAATGAATATGTAACAGGCATGGTACTAATTTTTTTTTAATCAATCTTTATTATTCAGATTTATTACACTTGTTCCTCTTTTCTTCCCCCATAGTTCTCCTCCACTTGGTTCCCAGCATAGCCTCTGTCCTTACCCCCTTGCCACTGTCCTCATCCATAAGTACAAATTTTTGTCCAGTGTCTTCCATACACCTCCTTCCCCCCAAAAAATTGTCTGATATGCTGCTGATTCTATATATTATATTCACCAATTTATTCTGTTCATCAGATTTTTTTATTCACTTTATTTTTTTCCTTAATTTTTTTGTTGATTAAGGTATTCATATTTGTCCACATCCCACCATTACCTTCCCCCCCACCACCACTCATGCCCTAACCTCCATGTTGTCTGTGTCCACTGGTTAGGCTTATATGCATTCATACAAGTCCCTCACTCCAACTGTCCCCTACCTTTCCTCTGAGGTTTGATGGTCTGATCTGTGCTTTCCTGTCTCTGGATCTGTATTTGTTCATCCGTTTATGTTGTGCATTATTTCCCATAGATGAGAGAGATCATGTGATGTTTATCTTTCTCTGACTGACTTATTTCACTTAGCCTAATGTTCTCCAGTTCCATTCATATTGTGGCAAATGTTAGGAATTACTTCTTTTTTAGTTCAGTATAGTATTCCATTGTGTAGATGTACCACATTTTTTAATCCACTCATCTGCTGATGGGAACTTAGGCTGTCTCCAAATCTTAGTTATGGTAAATTGTGCTGCTATGAACATAGGGTGCAAAAATGCTTTCTGATTGATGTTTCTAGTTTCTTGGGGGTATATTCCTAGAAGTGGGATCATTGGGTCAAGTGTGAGTTCCATTTTTAGTTTTTGGAGGAAACTCCATACTGTTCTCAACAGTGATTGCACCAGTCTGCATTCCCACCAGCAGTGCATGAGGGTTCCCTTTTCTCTGCATCCTTGTCAATACTTGTCATTTATTGATTTGTTAATGATAGCCATTCTGACAGATGTGAGATGGTACTGCATTGTTGTTTTGATTTGCATTTCTCTGATGATTCATGACTTTGAGCATGTTTTCATATTTTTCTTGGCCTTCCTTCTGTCTTCTTTAGAAAAAGTGTCTATTTAGCTCTGTTGCTCATTTTTTTTATTGGGTTCTTTATCTTCCTTTTGTTGAGTTGTATGAGTTCCTTATAAATGTTAGAGATTAAACCCTTATCAGTGATAACAGTGGCATATATTTTATCTCAAGTAGTGGGCTTTCTTGTTTTGTTGGTAGTTACTTTGCTCTGCAAAACCTTTTTATTTTGATGTAGTCCCATTTGTTTATTTTCTCTTTATTTTCCATTGCCCTAGGAGCAGTATCACTGAAGTTCTTTCGGCTCATGTCTGACATTTTTCTGCCTGTGGATTCCTCTAGTATTTTTTTGGTTTCCTGTCTTATGTTTAATTCCTGTATCCACTTTGAGTTTATTTTTGTGTATGGTGAAAGTTGGTAGTCTAGTTTCATTTTTTGCATGTATCTGTCCAATTTTCCCAACACCATTTCTTGAAGAGACTGTCTTGACTCACTTGTATGTTCCTGCCTCCTTTGTCGAATATGAATTGAGCATAGTGATTTGGGTCAATATCGGGATTCTCTGTTGTATTCCATTGATCTATGTGCCTGTTCTTGTGCAAGTACCAGGCTATGTTAAGAACAGTGGCTTTGTAATACAGTTTGAAATTTGGTATTGAGATCTCACCTACTTTGTTCTTCTTTCTCAAAATTGCTGCAGCTATTCGGGATCTTTTTTTTAAATTTTAGATGAATTTTTGGAGAATTCTTTCTATATTTGTGAAATATGCCATTGGTATTTTAATGGGAAGTACATAGAATTTATAGATTGCTTTGGGGAAGTATGGACATTTTGATGATGTTGATTCTACCAATCCATGTTCTTCCATCTGTTTATGTCTTCCTCTGTCTCTTTATGCAGTGTCCTGTAGTTTTCTGCCTATAGGTCTTTTACCTCTTTAGTTTATTCCTAGGTATCTTAATTTTTTGGTGTGATGGTAAATGGGATTGCTTTTTAAATCTCTCTTCCTGTAAGTTCTCTTTTGGTGTATAGAAATGCCATATATTTCTTGGCTTTAATTTTGTATCCTGCTACAATGCCAAATTCATTTATTAAGTCTATTCGTGTTTTGATGGAGTCTTTAGGGTTTCCTATATACAGTATCGTGTCATCTGCGAATAAGGACAGTTTTACTTATTTTCCATTTTGGATACCTTTTCTTTTTTCTTGTTGTCTGGTCAAAATGTACTTCCAGCACTATGTTGAACAGGAGTGGTATGAGTAGGCATCCCTGTCTTGTTCCTGTTCTTAGGAGAGAAGGTTTTCATTTTTGCCCGTTGAGTATGATGTTCACTGTGGGTTTGTCATATATGGCTTTTATTATGTTGAGGTATGATCCTTCTATTTCCTCCTTCCTGAGAGTTTTTATCAAGAAAGGGTGTAGGATTTTGTCAAATGCTTTTTTCTGCATCACATAAACAAATTGAGAGATAAAAATCAGGTAGTCATATCAATTGACTATATGATTTTTATCTCAATTTGTATATGTGATGTATCACATTTATTGATTTGCGAATAGTGTACCATCCTTGCATCCCTGGGATAAATCCTATTTGGTCATGGTGTATGATCTTTCTGATGTGCTGCTGGAGCCTATTTGCTAGAATTTTGTTGAGGATTTTGGCATCTATGTTCATGAGGGATATTGGCCTGTAATTCTCTTTCATTGTGTTGTCTTTATCTGGTTTTGGTGTTAGGGTGATGCTGGCTTCATAGAAGGAGCTTGGAAGGGTTCCTTTCTCTTGCATTTTTTGGAATAGTCTGAGGAGGATAGTTTTTAGTTCTTCCTTGAATGTTCGGTAAAATTCCCCTGTGAAGCAGTCTGGCCCCAGGGTTTTGTTTGATGAAAGCTTTTTGATGACTGCTTCAATTTCTTCCATAGTTATCATCCTATTGAGATTTTTAGAATCTTCCTGAGTAAGTTTTGGAAGGTTGTATTTTTCTAGGAATGTGTCCATTTACTCCAGGTTGTCTACTTTGTTAGAATAAAGTTGTTCACAGTATTTTATAACGGTCCTTTGTATTTCATTGGGGGCTGTTATTTCTCCTCTTTCATTCCTGATTTTGTTTATTTGGGTCCTCTCTCTTTGCTTCTGGGTGAGCCTGGCTAGAGATTCGTCAATCTTGTTTATCCTTTAAAAGAAGCAGCTCTTGTTTTGTTGATCTTTTGTATTTTTTTGTTTGTTTGTTTTTGTCTCTATGTCATTCATTTCTGCTCTGATCTTTATTATTCCCTTTTGTCTGCTCACTGTGGGCTTTTCTTGTTGCTCTCTTTCTAATTATTTGACTTGTTGAGTTAGGTGATTTATTACCATTTTTCTTATTTTTTTTGAGTTAGGCCTGTACAGCTATAAATTTACCTCTCAGAATTGCTTTCATTGTGTCCCATAGGATTTGCAATGTTGTATTATTGTTGTCATTAGTCACCAGGATGTTTTTAATTTCTTCTTTGATCTCCTTGATAACCCAGTCATTGTTTAGCAGCATGCTATTCAGCTTTTAAGAGTTTGAATTTTTTGGAGTGCTTTTGTTGTAGTTTATTTCTAATATTATGCCATTGTGGTCTGAGAAAATGCTTGATAGGATTTCAATCTTTTTGAATTTGGGGAGACTGCTTGTGACCCAACATGTGGTCTATTTTTGAAAATGTCCCATGTGCACTTGGGAAGAATGTATATTTCATGCCTTTGGGGCGAAATGCTCTGAAGATGTCAATTAGGTCCATCTGATCTAGTGGGTCATTTAGAATTACGGTTTCTTTGCTGATTATTTGTCTAGAGGATTTATCCAGTGATGTCAGTGGTGTATTAAAGTCCCTTACTATAATTATGTTGTTGTCGATCACTCCCTTGATATCTTCCAGGAGATTTTTTATGTATATGGGTGCGCCTTCATTGGGTGCATATATGCTTACCAGAGATATATCTTCTGACCAGGAATTGAACCTGCAGCGTTTGGGTGTACTGAGCGACAGTCCAGCCAGGTGAGCCACCCTGGCCAGTAGAGATATATCTTCTTGTTGAATTGCTCCCTATAGTATTTCGTAGTAGCCTTCCTTATCTCTTATTATGGTCTTTACTTTGAGGTCTCGACAAATACATTGACAAGTACATGTTGTAATATTTTTCCTTAGTGTTTGTGTTTCTTCTTGCCTTTCTCTTTCTTCTTTTTTTTTTTTTTTTTTTTTTACAGTAGTCTCTTTAGCATTTCTTGCATTGCTCTCTTAGTAGTTGTAAATTCTCTTAGCTCTTTTTTGTCTGTGAAGCTCCTGATTCCACCTAATTTTGATTGATAGCCTTGCTGGGTGTTGTACTCTTGGATTCAGACCATTGCTTTGCATCACTTTATATATTTCATTCCATTCCTTTCTGGCCTAATGTGTTTCTGTTGAGAAATTGGTTATTATTCTTATAGGAGATCCCTTGTAAGTAACTCTCTGACTCTGTCTGGCAATCTTTAAGATTCTTACTTTGTCGTTAGTGTTCCCCAATTTAATTATGATGTGTCTTGGTGTCAGTCTTTTGGGGTTCAACTTGTTTGATACTCTATGTACTTCTTGGACTAGCAAGATTTTTTTCTTGCCAATATCAGGAAAGTTTCCTGTCATTATTTCTTCAAACAGGTTTTCTATTCCTTGCTTCTTTTCCTCTTCTTCTGTTCTCTATTAAGTGAATATTGTTTTGTGTTGTCCCAAAGTTCCCTTAGGCTCTCCTCTTGCTTTTTTAAGTCTTCTTTCCAGTTGCTGTTGTGATTGTGAGTTTTTTCCTACTTTGTCTTCTAATTCACTGATGCAGTCCTCAGCCTCTTCTAGTCTACTGTTTAAGCCTTCCATTGTGTTCTTTATTACAGCTATGTCCTTCTTCATCTCCTCTTGGTTCTTTTTCAT